CTATCTATGTTATATATAGATAGTGTATGGCCAGCTTTAATCCTATAGCATAGCCCAGTTTCTTTTTGCACAAGACAATTACCCAGTACAGAGCATTACAAAGTATTTCTCTATGAAAGACGTCCAGAATATATATATATATACAGTATATAGGAAATAATTCTAAAAGATATCTTCTTACAAAATAGATTATTTTTTGTTTTCTTAAATATTATCCCAGATTTACGTTGCGTTCCCTCCCCCCCTTCCCCATACACAATGTATTTAATGTCCTTCTCCAAGTCATCCTCGTTACTCTTTTATTTTGTTTGGAAAAAACGAAATATGTTTTTGTGTCTTTCTATATGCCAAATATTGACCAAATGTTGCTCTTTGCACACCTTTAAAGTGGAAGCCGAGATATAAATGGCGGTATGTGATGCAGCGTGTCGGGAGAATTTAGACCGAAGGCCTTTCCACTGCTGCAGGACGGACACTTTCAAATCATAATGGTAATAAAAACGGTAAATTATCTCCAAACTGATAAAGATTAAAGTGACACTAAACCCAGGAATACATTGAAGTCCCTGAACTCTGAACAGCAATGAAGGGGAGCAGACGGAATCTGGAGAAGGTGTGCACGGCAGCCAATCAGCTCATCTCTTTTATCTTCAAATCCTAACTGACCAAACGGAAGAGAGAAGCCGATTGGTTGCCGAGCACAGCTGCTCCAGGTTTGATAAATCCCCTTCCCCCGCTTCAATGTATCTCATTTGTGTGTCACTCGGCTGTAGATCCTCCAATCATCTCTGACACTGTCCTTCCTTCTGGAGGGGGGCTACGTCTGTTCCCCATGGTCCCTGTGTGTGTTGTAGAGTAGAACTGCTACAATCTCAGGTTCAGTTTACTCATTTGTATTGAGATTGTAGTCCATCCCGGGGGGCGGAGCTTGGAGCGGTGACTACTTTACAACACACACAGGGACCACGGGGAACAGACGTAGCCCCTCTCTAGAAGGAAGGACAGAGACGATTGGAGGATCTACAGCCGAGTGACACACAAAGAAGATACATTTCCTGTCATAATATATAACTTCAAATATATTCATAAAAAAATAATAATCATGAATTGGCCTCCACAATGTGACACATAAGGCCCCATTCACACTGAGCGATTCGCAAATCGCGCGTTTGTTATGCAATTTGCATTTTGCGGTTCATCGCGCAAATGTTTGCATTGAGCAAACTAGAATCGCGGCAAAATCCGCTCCAAAAAGGGTCCCGCTGTAGCATGACCGCGTGCGGTCTTCCCCTGAACGTCCCCTTTAAAATGTTGTTGTTTTAGGGGCCCATTTACATTTCTTTGCTGAGCGTGGCGTTAAGGCCGCTAATGAAGACCAACGGGCGGCCGACGCAGCAAAATGTCCCGAAAATCAGACGCGACGCCAAATATTCAGGGCGACCGCAATGCGCTATGGAGCGTTGTCATGCTGCGATGTGCTAGGGAGCGTGGCAGGGGGCGTGCGGTCAGGGGAGGCAGGTGGGGGGCGGAGCCTCGCCTAGCATTATGGAGGAAAAAGCTGTCAGCTTCAAGTCTGACAGCTTTTTCTCCATTCAGATCGGCTTCTATCAGGTTACAGAGCAGGAAAACGGTTACACAAGCACTGGGGAAGCCCGCCGCTGTGTAACCCAACTTGTTGAGGCCAGAGCTGTCACAGCCTCTACTCTGTGTTGGAGGCGTGAGCTCTGTGGATGACTTGGGCCAATGGCAAAGCGCTATCGTTCCAAGCTGTCCAATCAAAAAAAAAACTGAAGACATCGATCTCGATGCCTCAGCAGTGACGAGCAAGTGAGGGGCAGAGAGGCTCCTCCCTTCCTCCTCCTCACACAGCTTGGTTAGCAAGCTGGGGGTGGGACTTTGGTGGGACGGGGGCGGAGCTTCGGTGGGCTGGGGGATGCCTTACCCAGCACAGAAGGCACGGCACTGGAACGTCGGCACGCTACAATGCACTATGGAGGGTTGGCATGCTGCAGTGCACTATGGAGGGTTGGCATGCTGCAGTGCACTATGGAGGGTTGGCATGCTGCAGTGCGTTATGGAGCCTTGGCATGCTGCAGTGCGTTATGGAGCCTTGGCATGCTGCAGTGCATTATAGAGCGTTGGCATGCTGCAGTGCACTATGGAGCGTTGGCATGCTGCAGTGCGTTATGGAACGTTGGCATGCTGCATTGCGTTATGGAACGTTGGCACGCTGCAGTGCGTTATGGAACGTTGGCACGCTGCAGTGCGTTATGGAGCGTTGGCACGCTGCAGTGCGTTTTGGAACGTTGGCATGCTGCATTGCATGTGTGTTCAGAATGAACGGCACCACAACGCATGTAACACACATTACCGCAATGCAAAAATCTAAACGGGCCCCTAACGTTGACTTTCGATGACCCAATTCGGGCCGGTGACCCCTCCCCCCCCCGGTTGGTGCTACTTCCTACATCCTACGCTACGGATTCCAAGGTGCTACTTCCGAATCACTTTACCGCTCAGTCTCAATTTTAACGAAATATATATTTTTTGAGGATAAAGTTGTAATTCAGAAGCAGAATTTTTTAGATGATATTTTTATATCTTCGTATTTATCGGGAGACGGCGACAAGAAGCGCCAAACCGCTCGCCATCAGTATCCTCCTACCTTGTGCCTTGTCTATAGGGGCCTTTCACCCTGGGGGTGGGGCAAACTCCGGGGCCCTCCGGCTGTGGTCAGACTACAAATCCCATGATGCATCTGCCTCTGAGAGTCACGCCTGTGGCTGTCAGAGTCATGCAATGCCTCCTGGGACTTGTAGTTCCGCAGCAGCTGGAGGGCCGGAGGAGGGCTGATACTTCAGCAATGTAGACAGGAATCGGCATTACAAGTATTAAAGAACTCCGGGGTTAGTCAAATTGAACCCTTGCAGGGGGGCCACCTGCCCCCAAACGTACTCCTACCCCCCCCCCCCCTTCCTAAGTGGACTAAGTGCTCGTTTTGATCTAAATAAAGAAGATATACGCACCCGAGTGATTGCTCGTCTCGCTCTCCCACCGCTGTGGCTGTGGAATGTCCCTCGGGTCCTATGCAAATGACTGGATCTGATGATGTCACGGGTCCTTAGATTGACAG